TCTGGTATATGGTTGTTCATTATTTTTGTTATTTTCTCGCCTGGTCCATTATACTCCTGCTATGAGTGAAACCATCCGGTATTTTTCTTTTTCTTTCTGGCTTATCTCACTAAGCATGATCTTTTCCAGCTCCATCCAAGTAACGCAGATGTATATTTTATAGTTAAAAACTAAAAACAGCTCAAGTGTCATTCAGTGGGTGAGTGGTTGAATAAAGTGTTGCGCATTCATAACATGGAATGATGTTCATTAATGAAAAGACCCACCTGCTGTACTCGTCCATACAACAACTTGGATGGGTCTCAAGGGAACCAACAAAATGAAAAACAAACAGGGAACAACCTTTAGAAAATTACACAATGTAATTTCATTTAGAGAACATTCTTGAATACCAAAATAACAGACATGGGGAACCGAACAATGGTTGCTGGGAATAGTGATTGCTGGTGGAGTAAGAGGGGTGTGAATGGTTGTGAGAGAGATTTTGGTGGTGGTCACCCGAATACACACATATGATAAAGCTGGAAAGATCTACATTCACACAGAAATGAGAGTATATAAAACCAATGAAATCTAAATGAACTTTCTGTGTTGTATAACATCAATTTCCTGGTTGTGATAATGTGCTATTGCTATGGAAGGGGGTATTGCTGGGAGAAACTGAGTGAAGGTCACAGATATTTTCCTGTAAATCTTTTTTGTAACTTTCTGTAAATCTATAATTATTTCACAATATAATGTTAAAATTTAGAAACCTCTAGATTTGTTTGTTTTTAATGTTGAAAAATAATGACCTGACAAAAAACAAAGTGAGAATACTGACAAGGAATGACAGTTGTCGCATCAGCCAGGCTGACCTAGAGTGCACTCCTGGGTAAGTTCTGTTAGGAGAATATTTTCAATTCTAGTTAGAACTAGAAGGAGGCACAGGAAAGCCACAGCTGGGAACCAATGTTTAATACTAGCCAAAATTAAAAAAAAAAAGAAAACATCAAAATGTAACTTCTTCTGTATTATTTAGAGTTGTCTCTGTTAAGAAGATTTTTCTTCAGATCGAAATTGGTAGGAAGAAAAATCGGGAAGAAAGATATGAAGCCTGAAATAGTTGAGGACTTGGGTGAGACTGGGGTCTCTCACAGACTTCCCAGAGAGCGTGCCTAAGCTGATAACAGAACACTGAGAAACTGGATTCTTCAGGGTATGGACAAGGAGACTCAAGCTAAAAAAAAAAAAAAAATGCCCATCATTTACAAAACAAATGGAAAGGAGTGTCTCCCAGAAAGATATTGTCACAAACAATGTAAAGTCTCTCTCTCAAGTTCCACTGCTTGTTGAGGCGTTAGCTGGGCCCGATGCCAGTTGAAGAGGAAAGGCTGGGATTTGGCTGGAACTGAAGGGCAGCAAGAGTTCATGGTATGCCTAGCTTCTTCAGAAAATCAAAGCAATTTCAGTAGATAAGATATTAAAAATAAAGATGCCTGAAAGATCAAGTGCTGAAACTGGTAGCTTTGTTCATCTCAGTAATTCCTGAAGAGGTCACTAGGTTACAGACCCTGACAATGATCACTGTCTATAATGGCACTCATCTGGAAAGGTCCATAGGTTTTATGATCTTTATATAAGAAGTTGTGAATGCATTTAAGAAAATCTTCCATCTAAATTAGAGTGATACTAGATTTTGATTAGATGCTTAGCTATTTCTTACCCAAGTGACAAATCTGGGGTTCATGCTTGATGCTTGCATCTTCCTCACCTGCTCTGTTCTACTGTGATCTTGTTACTGTTCTCTCTGTTTCTATCTGCAGAGAGCTCTTTCCTGCCTTACATCCACTGCCTCTCATCTCTTGCTACGAAGCTCCTCTTTGTCCTCAGACTTAAATCTTTCCAGTTTATCCAACACTAGTGATGATTAATCTCAAGTGCAGACCAGTGCTTCCCAGTCCCAATTTCAACCCCTTCAAAGTTCCCCATTGTTCTCAAAGTCCAAGTTTGAGGGTGGTAGTCTCCACCCCACTGAGTTTCCCCACACAATTTTGACCCAACATAGTGGAACTGTTTGTTTTTCTAACTTCCCTATGAATGTATCATAAACGTGTGCACTACCCTGTCCCAGACTATCATCTGCTTTCTGTAAATAACCCCTTCTATCCTAAAGTCTAATTTTAATTTTTAAGTCTCACCCCATCCTCCAGGACCACCCCCACCCCTGACCAGCTTACATCTGTTTGTAAGACCCAGTGCAAGTGTCAGTCACAGCCAGCAATGAGTTGTATAGATATTGTCATGTGTTGGGTGGGTTCACCCTGCCATCCTCTTGCCAGCCCAACATGACTGTGTGTTCCCTAAAGTCAGAGCCATGGTTATTCTTGCCCGTTTCCTGGGTGCTAAGGGTAGCACCTAACAGGTAGTAGCTGATGAATGTTTATCAGCTGAATATGCTTGAACATTTTCAAATCTTGAAAATCTTGTATGTTCAGAAGCTGCATTTCCCAAAGTTCTGCATAGTCAACATTGACCAAATCATTTACCCATGCCTGCCACTGAACCACAGATTCCCAGAGACAGAGCACAGACCCTTCATCTTTGTCTCCTCATACATTCAAGCCCGCATGAGCAGATGACGGATGAGCCAACACTCAGGCCAATCGCAGCACTGCGATTGATCCTGATCATCCAACTTCAAGGAAATACAAGGAGTGGGACTGACAGATTGACAGGCAATCCAATTCTAAGAGGCTATTCTACAGCCCCAAATCAAAGATCCCATGTTTTTTAAAATGCAAAATGCTCACCCGGGATTTCAAATGCTACACATTCTATAAGATTTAAAGCCATGTCACTTGTGTAACACTGAGGGTGAAAACCAAGATAAAACAGAGCTGACTGCAGTTTTAAAATCTGAGTTTAATATAAGGTAGACTAATTATGAAAGTATGAATATATCCTAACCCAACAGGAGATAAAGAAAGCACTCCCTGGTCAACACATCCATTAAACAGAGACGTCACCTTCAAGAATGCGAGAGAAATTGGATTAAAGCAATCAATTCTTGTTTTGTGTTGCCATCTCATCACAAAATCTCTGTGTCAGAATAAGACACTGACAAACAGGAGGAACATTTAATAATAAGCATCCTTCTAAAAGAAAACATTGAAATACAATTTAAAGGAATTCTGTATCTTAAAAAATAAGGAACTAAAGCAACCACATGCTAAAGGTACACATTATGACCAACATTCCAGAAGATCCATATAAAGCATTCCAGAAATGTATTGAGAATTTAGGGTGCAGAACTAGATGTTCTATCAACTCCTCTATTTCTTCCATTTGTAACAGACAGACTGTGTGTTAGGCAGCGCTGTTTGTTGCTGGGCAAGCTTACTTTACCATTGATCTCGAAGGTCTCCATGGCAGGAAACATGGTTTGGTCAGGAGCTCTTCTTTCTTCAGGTCTAGTCAAGAACGCTTCCTCCTTGAGAATTTCCTTACTGTCCATTGCTAAGCTTTATAGATGACCAAAGTCCTGGAGCCAGCAGAAATGCTCTCCTCAAGAGGAACCACTCTGGAAAAGATTGTTCCCATTTAACTACCACAGCGGCTTGTAGTTCAAGTAACACTTCCTTTGGCTCTGAATTCTGAATTTGCAAAATATTTCCTGACAGATGATCAGGATTGGGTATTTCTCAAATGTGGGCTCTCCGCGTGTGGAGCTCCTGCTTGGTGCAGCAGCTATGTGTGTGTGTGTGGGGGGGGGGGACTAAGGGGCGTACGTTATAGGCCCTGGAAACCACCTTTTACTCAGAGGTCACTGAGAACTGTTAGCTGGCTGGCCTTGGGGAGCCAGGGTTTCTGCTTCTCCCCATCCTCTCTCCTTTTGGAGCCCTGCCACCATCTCAGCCCCAGCTCGCTTCCCAGGGCCTCACCAGCTCACACTGAAGTCTTCTCCTTTGGCTATGTATGACCTTTCAAGTTCATGTTTGTGACTCAAAATGTAGGCCATGGGCCAGAGCCTCAGCATTGCCTAGAAACTTGTTAGTCCACATAGACTGATTCCAAATGTGCCCTTTCCTGAGGTGCCTAGGTGTTGCAGGGTCATGTTCCAGTTGGAGAAGCACTGCTCTATACCACCCACGTTAGCATTTTATTAACTTCTCCTTACAGTTTTCCATGTTCTGGGTCTGTGGGCTCATGGGTGCTTGCTCTGGTCCCAGTAAGGTCTGACCAAACACATCTCATTCTGTATCCCACATGCCTGGCTCTCCCCATGAGGACAGTTGTGCAACATGGTGGTTAGAGCCGAAATGCCTGGTTCAAATCCCCTCCCTTACGTGGTCACTGTAGGCTGTGGGCAGTCAGTTAAGTTTTTAGTGTCGCACTTTCCTTGTTTGTGAAATACAGATGATGATAGTAATGGCTATGTACATTAAAAGACTTGAAGGCAGCTGTGATGGCACCTGGGAGGTGGTGAATCCAGGCAGTGCCGGGAGGTGTTTAAATCCAGAAACTTACTGTTTAGTTCAACCTTGATGAAAACACCTGAAAGGACAGAAGAGACCAGCAGGCAGGGAATAGCATACAAATTTGAGACTAGATCTTGGTTTGCCTAGATTGGGCGTTTGTTCAGAGAGCAAGATGAGGTGAGGGCCTTGCAGGGATGGGTAAGCAGCCTTCCAGAGGCCAGATGGCTCAGGGTCAGGGAACCATGAGACTCTGGGGCTATTGGAACAAGTAAGTGAGAGGGAAAGTTGACAAGTTGACAACTGATTATGTCAGTTTCTCTGGCATAGTAGAAGGCAAAAGGGAAAGGAACTCAGCAAAGTGAGCTCTGGTAGTTAGTGCCCATAAGGCAGAGAACCTAGATGGCCCATAATTTCAACACTCAGGAAATCACTGGTTTCCATGAGGGCTAGGAGAAGAAGCTAGGATAGAAAATATTGAAGAGAGAGAACTGGAAGTGAGGAAATGAAGGTAGCTATCAGCTCTAGTCAGAAGTTTGTGGGGTGGACAGTATAATAGACGTTTTCAGGGGGTTCCCCCAAGAAAGGGGAAGTCCCCTGGCAAAGGAACCTGCTAACATAGCTTCAATGCCTCCCCTGCCTGATGAGTTCAGCCTTGCTCAGAGATGTCCTCTTGCATGGGGCAGGGGAGGTTTTGAGGCTGGGTGTGCTGGAGAATGTGTGGGCTGTTTACTATGTGCTGCCATGCTTGAAGGGAGACTTTGGTGGTTCTGGTGATGAGACCAGACAGTGCCGGAGGCAAGCTAGACTCTTTCACTAACTTACTGTGGGACCTTGGGTGACATAGTTAACGTCTCTGAACTTCAGCACAAAGTAGAATCTTGTAAAATTAACTGATATTTAGGACTTTTTAGGTATCAGGTACTGTACAAGTCATGCACATAGATTACTCCATACTCAGAGCAACTTGTAACTTACCTTGGATTGTGTGGTTAGAAAGTGATGACATCAGAATTCAGATTCAAGATCCCTTGTGGGTAGTGTCTGCTTTAAACTGGTTGATTCTAGGAATTCTAATCCAGAAATTCATACCCGAGGAGCATTTGTTTTTAATATTTATTTATTTATGCATACAGAACTGGGGTACAGGCCAGAGGTGCCAGGAGAGGGGGTGAGAGTATTCATCAGAGAGACAGTGGGGAGCAGAACAGGCAGATTGATGAAATACACTGCTGAGGGGAGGTGTATTGGGGTGGGCAGGTCAGGAGAGGTCTGCTACACCCTATGGGCCTCCTCCTTGGCTGGTGATCAAACTGGTGCTGCAGTGGCTGAGGATAGCTTCATAGTGCTGTGCTTTAACCTGTTGCGCCACCAGGGAAGATCCAAGAGGAACATTTTGAAAACACACCTGTCAGCTCATAGTCTAAGCCTGAGTTCCTAGTTCTAATAAAAGTTCCCCTGGCTGGTTCTAAAGCATAGCCAGACTGTGGCTTATTGCTCAGAGTGATAAGTGGCTACAGGAAGCATGGAACATGTGACACTCAAAACTTGATCAAAAAAGGTCCATTAGGTTGAACCATTTGAAATTACTGATACTCATATGTAATCCATCCATCCAGCTTGCAGGGCTGGGGTCAGAATGAGACAATTTAGGCAGTAGCTTAGGGTGCAAGAGATTCCATAAGCGAGATATGTACTAATTTAATACACCACTTAAAAAAATCAAGATTAGTGTAAAAAGATCAGCATGGAAAAAAAAAATGATGTACATTTAAACAGATCCCACACTGTACTGATGTCTCTGGTCACGTGCCACACTGGTCCCAGCCCTGTTCACTGTTCTTTCAACATCCCTGTTTGCAAAAGGTAATAGTAATAATTGCCTTGTTTGCTCAAAAGGTGGGTGTGAAAATCAAACAAAACAAAGCGTCAGTGGTGACACTCTTGAGAATCACACTTTATGTCAAGTCAATATGTAATGCAAAGCTTGTACATTGTCAATGTTACCCTAAAAATCTCTAAATCTCTCATAAAATACAAAACATACTGTAACAGGGTGGTCCCAGGAAAAGGGGAGGTTTCAGGTTCCTTGAAAAGGAAGAGTGGAGCTGAGCAGGGAGGAGGAGAATCTGGAGAGGAGGCTGAAGAGGAAGGAAGCAGGATGGAGAGCCAGAAGGAGACCTGAGGGAGCCACATGGAGCAGAGAGACATGTGAAGAAGCGGCTCTTGCTCCTTGGTCCTGGACTGGCTGAAGCAGGTTGACTATGGCAGTATTTATCTTGATTTTGATTTTGCTCTTTTCTTCCCAGACTTGTCTAGCCATTTCTGACCCATTTTTATGGGTCCCTGCTGGAAGGTGCTTTAAACCTATGGCAGGCTTTCAGGCCTTGCTTTGAGCCAATCCTGTTTGGGTGGATTTTTATGCACGAGGGGATGGGTACCTTTGGGTGTTTGACTTAGAAACTATATTCTTTGTTGTACTGTACACTGATTTTTTAAAAAAGTTCCTTTCCATTAAAGGTCTTACATGTTTTGTCTTGATGTGGCGGATGGCAGAACCAAATTAGAGCAGGCAGATTTGGGGGTTCAGCCGTGTGCCTCTCCCTGCCCTGTAACAATACAACTTGGGAAAATTTGTATGATCTCTTCCTAAGTCACACTCAAGGCACTATCATCTTGGGAACAGAGATCTCCCTCTGAGCAAAAGATGAAGTGTTTGACTGTGTTTAGGCACAAGGTTGCTCCAAAAAATACAGGGTTGGGCTTTGTTTTTCTAGTTGAGTATATATAATAGGACTAATTTAAATAGGTGTACAGTTTGGCTCTGATGTAGTTATGTCAGGTTCTGATATTCTCCAAAGTAACGGCCAAGTTGCTCACAGTGTGTTACTGGACAGGGGTAACAGGTCTAGGGTCCCTGGCAAGTGTACCCCCACTGCTGGTACCTTCACAGAACTTGACAGTATATGAACCAGTGAGGCCCAGACTAGATTAGTGGATGGACTGCGTGGCAGGTCACTGATGCCTTTCTACCTTCAAACTAGGGCAGGCATGGTAATGACATAAAAACTACCTACATCATTAGGCAACTATAGATCTGAGGAATTCTGTAGAGAAGGGAGAGAGGGTCAGGACAGGAGTGGGAAGAACACAAGGGACTATGGTGATGGTGCACAGGTGTACTGGTGGTGGGAATTTTATATGAAATCATACACTGTACAAAAATGAAGGATGATGTAATGAATATGTTTTTTTTTTCTTAAAAGTTTTGAAAATAGGCCCTCCCTGGTGGCACAGTGGGTTAAAGCACAGTACTAAGAAGCTTAAGCCACTTCCACATGAATTCAATCCCTACCCCGGAGGTGACCACATGGCGTGGCAGACCTCTCCTGACCCGCCCGCTGCTCCCCTCAGCAGTGTACTTCGTCGGTCTGCCTGTTCTGCTCCCTGCTCTGTCTCTGGGGAACCCTCTCACCCATCGCATCTCTGGCCTGTACCCCAGTTCTGTATGAGTAAATAAATAAATTCTAAAAAAAATGAAAAAAAAAGTTTTGAAAATATTAAAAAAAAAACCACCTACAAAAGCCATTAAAACAAACAAAACTCCACTGCTGGCAGGCAGGCCAAGACTCCACAGTGGAGTGCCAGAGTCCCCGCTACTCTCACTGGCTATTTAGCCACTTCTGCTTGTTCTGTCATCTGCCTGAGCAGGGTTGATGGAAAGCAAAACCCGGGCTAAAGACAAGCATCAAGACAAACATCAATGATGTCTACCTGTTGACTTCATTTTTCTTGCCAATCATGTGGCAATCATGGCGTCCCCAGGCCCAGCTCTGTGCAAGCAATTAACGGCACTTACTAACTGCTAATTATTACTAAAGATTAAAAAGAGCAATGCAAATGACCACCAACAAGTGAATAGATATATAAAAGGAATACTAGTTAGCAAGGA